TCATTTTCCTTTAGCTGTCGGGCAATTAAAGTTTCTTATATTGGTAGTTTACTATTTCACCAAATGGGTGGAAGCCGAGGTCGTATCTTGAATCATGGTAGAGAGGGTAAGACATTTTTACTGGAGAAATATCACATGTTATTTTGGTTTACCCGAAATCATCGTATCCGATAATGGCGTGCAGTTTGCAAGCTCGTCCATATTATAGAATTTTGCAGGCACCTCGACATTCATAATTGATTTTTGTCGGTCGGACATCCCCAGGCTAATGGCCAGGAAGAAGCGGCAAATAGGAACATCTTAGAAGGCATGAAAAAGAAGTTGGATTAAGTAAAAGGGCTTTGGTCTGAGTACTTGCATGAGATCATATGGTCCTATCACACTAATCCTTATTCAACCATTAAGGAGGCACCCTTTGGAATGATGTATGGGGCCGATGCAATGATACCGGTAGAAGTCAATTCTTCAACTTAGCATCATGTGAACTTTGACAATGACCTTAACACGGAAGAGCTGGATAACTCGACCGATATCATAGAAGAAATCAGAAGGATGGATAACCTAAGGGAATGAGCAACAAAGCAGAGGATTTCCAGAAGGTTCAACACCAAAGTTTTACCAAGAATTTTTCAAGAGGGAGACTTTATTCTGAAAAGGATTGCAGAAACGCAGAATAAGGGAAAGTTATCCTAAAATTGGGAGGGACCTTACCAGATTAAGCATAAACTAAAAAATGGAGCTTACAAGTTCGAGAACTTGGAAGGATTAGAAATGTCGAGGGCTTCAAGTATTTCCAACCATAGGTTTTATTACAGTTAAAGTTATGTAACAATATCATTTTAATAAAAATTGTGGGTAACACTATTTTCCCTTACAAGGGTAAGAGTTTTTAATGAGGCACCCTCAATTCATATGATTGTGTGTCACCTTAATAGGAAAGCTAAGAGCGTCCTAATGGCAATAAATATCATAGGCATCACCAATGACCTTAAAGAAATCCTCCACGTATATGTTAAACCTTTGGTCGGGTTAAGTTAAATAAAACCTTTGACCTTAATCAATCGGCCACGTAAATGTTAAACCTTTGGTCGGGTTAAGTTAAATAAAACCTCCGACCTTACGAAATCAGCCACGTAAATGTTAAACCTATGGCTGGGTTAAGTTAAATAAAACATCTGACCTTAAGCAATCGACCATGTAAATGTTAAACATCTGGTCGTGTTAAGTTAAATAAAATCTCTAACCTTAAGAAATCGACCACGTAAATGTTAAACCTTTGGCCGCGTTAAGTTAAATAAAACCTCTGACTTTAAGAAAACGGTCACGTAAATGTTAAACCTCTGGCCGAGTTAAGTTAAATAAAATGTGTGACCTTAAGCAATCAACCACATAAATGTTAAACCTCTAGTCGGGTTAAGTTAAATAGAACCTCTGACCTTAAACAATCGATCACGTAAATATTAAACCTCTGGTCGGGTTAAGTTAAATAAAACCTCTAACCTTAAATAATCAGCCACCTAAATATTAAACCTCTGGTCGTGTTAAGTTAAATAAAACTTCTAACCTTAAGAAATCAGCCACGTAAGTGTTAAGCCTCTGGCCGAGTCAAGTTAAATAAAACCTCTGACCTTAAGAAACCGACCACGTAAATGTTAAACTCTGATCGGGTTAAGTTAAATAAAACATATGACCTTATGCAATCGGCCACATAAATGTTAAACCTCTGTCTGGGTTAAGTTAAATAAAACCTCTGGCCTAAAGTAATCAACCAAGTAAATGAGAAACCTCTGGTCGGGTTAAGTTAATAAAACCCCCGACCTTAAAGAAATTGGCTAAATAAATGATAAACCTCTGGCCAGGTCGTTAAACCTTTGGATAGGTTATGACCTAAATCATCGGCCAAATAAATAAAGATCAATGGTTGGATTATGGTAACCAGTCCTCTGATTTAGCAAAACCGGTCATAAAAGTCCCTTGTCAGGTTATTAAATATAATGATCAAATCAAAGGTCTGAGGAGCCTGTAACGAGCGGCTAAATGTACTAAATCATTTAATCAAAAAATCTAAATTATTAAAGGCAAGTGATCAAATTATTAAAAAAGGAGTAAACTGGTACACATTAAAAGCTAGTTTCTGAAACATACCAATGAAAAACATAAAACATAAGATAACAAATTGATATTAGCATACTCAAAAGGGACCCCTTAAGGGGCTAAAATTTGTGTAAGAAAGGAAAGACATTATTCAAGATTTTATCGGATGCCTGGATAGTATATGTTCCACATCTGGTTACATCTTTCTCTTGGCTGGAGGAGCCGTCTCCTGGAAGTCTTTCAAACCGACTTTAGTGGCTCCTTCCACAATGACAGTAGAGTTTGTGGCTTGCTTTGAGGCATAAAACCATGCAATTTGGTTGTGGAACTTTGTCACAAGCTTATGCATCATTGGGAGCATTGAAAGGCCCTTGAAGGTTTATTGTGACAATAGTGCAGTTGTGTTATACTCCAACAACAATATGAGTTCTACAAAATTAAAATTTATCGATATCAAGTATCTTATTGTGAAAGAAAGAGTTCAGGAGAAACAAATTTTGATAGACACATATAGGGACATACTTAATGCTAGCTGATTCACTAACCAAAGGCTTAGCACCTAAGGCTTTTCATGGGCATGTTGCTCATATAGGTCTTGGTTTTGAGTTTTCCTTAGATTAGTGGGAGTTTTTTTTTCTTAATTTTGTATGTTTTGTTTTATTTTCGTACAAACTTTACGTTATGTTTAATTTTTTGCAGAAATAAAAAAACTTATGAGGTAATATTATTATAACAATATCAAGGTTTTGTTATGCGCAAATATTGTAATTTTAAATTGCACCTAAGGAACTTCAATTTGATCTCACTAAAGACTCTAGTAGTACCAGTTAGAAATATGCATGATTCAAAGATCACATTGCATGAAATTTCCATGTCATTAATCCATATTGATCTATGTCATCAAGTACGTTGATGTGGTGGTCGTCGGAGTTCTGTCACGTTATACGTTAGTGACGACAACCGTGATGGTCCCATTATTGATGTGTGAGATGGACCAGATTGTAAAGTTGAAATCTAAAGATAAATAGCATTCAGATGCGCGTCTAAAGAATTATGATATAATTATTAAGATATATTGGCCAAGTGGGAGATTGTTTGAATATATTAATATTTTAATATTATATTAGTATTCCAATAATTGTGTAGGAAAATATATTTATTTAATTATATTAGCTATTTTATCAAATAAAGTGCCTTAAATAAATTATGTGATCAAATAATGTTAAAAGTCTAGATTTTATTTAACAACTATTTAATTAAATAATTGATTAAATAATTGGATATTGACTCAAATATGAGTGGATGTCAGATGACCCATTTGAAAATAATGAAAATCCTATTTGGCCATCACATGCTATGGTACCCAATATAACGTACACAAGCAAAATATATATTCTCCCCATATAAAGAGAATTTGAGACATAAAAAATACCGATTAAAGAAGAACCACAAAAAACCATCAACTTTTAAATTTAAGATTACTGTCAAAATATGTTAAACATGTATATTAAATTGATTTAATTTTAACATTAGATACTATGAGAAACATATTACAAGTAATATATCTATAATTTATTACTTATAATATCTAAATAGGAAAAAATATAATTATTTTTGTATTTTTTACTTATAAATTTATATTTATATTTTAACAAATTAAAAAACAATTTTTACAAAGTATTGTTGTATTTTATTTATTTTACTTGTAGTTTTTAATATTTTGTTAATTGTAATAAAATTATAGTTTTATTTTTTGAAAATAATTTGATCATATTTAATTTTCATTTAAAAATATTTATACCATTTTATAAAGAATGAGGATCCACTTATTACAAGAGTAAATTTTTTATAATTTACTGCATAATCTTAATTTTTAAATTAAATTTAATTAAATAATTATAAATAAAAATATTAATTTAACCACTACATTATATTCAATTTAAAAGTTCTTATATAAAGGAAGTTAAAAAAATTTACTCTTAAAATAAGTTAATTCTCCCTCGTTTATGAATATACAAAATTAATTATTATTATTATTATTATTATTATTATTATTATTATTATTATTATTATTATTATTATTATTATGTATTTTTAACTTTTTTTTCTTCTTATTAAACTATTACGTTATTATTATTTTCATTTCTATTTTCTTTCTTAATTATCCTAATTTATTTTTAAAAAACGTTAACAAATTTTTATATGTTTGACAACTACTATATTGAATTTTGCTATTTTTTTATTAAGAATAAAAATGGATCTTCATTTCTATTGTTTGGATTTTGACGCATGCAAGTATCAAGATCAACAACAAGTTGCGTAACAAAACAGCTTTCACGTTTCACCGTCAGCGTACACCTTACGCGTTCTTGAAACTTCTTTTCATCCACCAATAATAAACAATTTAAACTTTTCTCAAAAAATAATCCACAATTAGAATAGAATACGATACTCTTTATCTTTCCACCCAAACACGCTTAATTAATTTAACAAACGCTCTCTCTAATCACCTTCCATGCGTGTCTTAACCTCATCTCAACCGTTCATAAATTAGTGGCCCATCCTCTAGCACCGCCTCACCCTCACTCTATATAAACCCAAACCCTTCCCTTCTCTTCTCATAATTTCTCGTTCAGTTTCTCCGAATTCTCTCGAATCCTTCTCTCTCAGGTTCGGTTCATTTTTGCCTCTCTGTTCACTTTCAATATTTTTCATGATTCTCGATTACGATAATTGATCTTTTAAAAAATTTAAATTTTAGGGTTTTGTTAAGATATTCATGTTGAAATTATGATGAATTTTTCTGTCTTGTTTCTGACGATTTTTTTTGTTGCTAATTTATATTGATTGTTTTGTTGCAGTTGCAGTTGCTTTCGGTGTTGTAAAGTTTCAATCAAGTAAAGTACATGGTTGAGTTGGAAATTCAGGTACCAACTCCATTCGATCCATTTTCTGAAGCGATAGAATCGGACGCTCCTGGGGCGAAACAGTATGTTCATATACGAATTCAGCAAAGGAATGGAAAGAAGAGTTTAACAACGGTTCAAGGACTGAAGAAAGAGTTCAGCTACGAGAAGATTCTGAAGGATCTTAAGAAAGAGTTCTGTTGCAACGGGAATGTTGTGCAGGATAAAGAGCTTGGGAAAGTTATTCAACTTCAAGGTGATCAGAGGAAGAAAGTTTCGCAGTTTTTAATTCAGGTTGGGCTTGTGAGGAAGGATCAGATCAAGATTCATGGTTTTTGAAGAGTTTGGTTTTTTATAATAGATTCGGGTATTTGAAGTTGCTGATAAATTTGGGGTGTCTTTTGTTCTGTTTTAGTTTGATTGGGGTTAGTTACTTAAGAAATAAGTGTGGTTTAATTTTTTGTTTTGTTTTGTAGTTTGAGTGTATGGCTTTTCTGGATGAATTTGAATGTATGCAAGGCACTTCAAATATAATAAAACTTGATGATTTGGTCTTAAGAAAATATGTTTTTTTTTTTTTTCTTTTCGAAAAAGGCAAAGTGAATGAGATAATACCTATCAAATTGAACGTAAATGAGTGACTTTATATATTTTCGAAAAATAAGGACCATGATTAACGGACTAAATCAGAGCTATTTCTAAGGAGGAATAATTCAAATAAAGCATTATATTTTTAAAAAATAGACTTATTCATAACAAAGAGGATACCTTTTAAGACTCTCCGATAATGAACTGTATGCAAGAAATACATTTCAATGTTGCATATTCCAAGTCTTTCTTCTAATTTCAGGAATATTTTACGGTTATCACAGTGTACTAGTTTAACTTCTAACTCTCGAAGAAAGTGAAATCGAAGATGAATATGCTTATTCTTACCATGCATATCAGAATTCTTCAAAAGTTTAATCGTTGAACTATTATCACATAAGATAATGGACTTATGTTGTTTAATCCAACCTCTCAAGTACACGCATCATCCAAATACTTTGTGCAGCACAAACCGTAGAAATAAATTCGACGAGCCACCAGACTCACAACATACATCAGATCTGGTCTAGTGGCAGTTAAGTACATAAGACTTCCCACCATTTGCTTATACACAGTAGCATCAACCTTTAATCCTCCAATATCCTTTGTGAGTTTGAACCCTGGAACAATTGAGTTATTGACAGATGAACAGTTTTGTAAACCAAACCTTTCCAATACTTCATTAGTATACTTTCTTTGACAAATAAAAATGCCATTTGAAGTTTGTGTGACTTCCACACCAAGAAAATATCCCATGCATCCCATATTAGTCATCTCAAATTCCTTTTTCATTAAACTCTTGAATTCTTTGAACATTTTGTCACTATTTCATGTAAAGATGAGGTCATCTACATACGAATTTACAATCAGAATGTCTCCTCCTTCCTCTTTCTTTGTAAACAAAGTGTGATCGCTCATGCTGCGTTCAAAATCTTCCTTGACAAAGTATGACTCTATCTTGCTGAACCATGCTCGAGGGGCCTGTTTAAGCCCATAGGGAGCTTTTTTCAATTTATACACTTTGTCTTCTTCACCTGTCACCTCATATCCCTTCGGCTGTTCCACGTATACTTCCTCTGTTATTTCTCCATGTAGGAATGCACTCTTGACATCGAGTTGATAAACATTCCATCCTCGACTAGCGGCAAAAGACAAAGTTAGTCGAATTGTATCCCATCTTGCCACGAGCGCAAATACCTCAGTGTAATCGATTCCATCTTGTTGAACATATCCTTTCACAACAAGACGCGCTTTGCATTTGTCTACTTCTCCTTTTTCATTCATTTTGGTCTTAAATACCCACTTAACACCAATTTCATTTGCTCCTATTGGCAAATCTGTTAATTCCCACGTTCCATTCTTCTCAATTGCTGCAATCTCATACATTGCATCCCTATATACTTGAATTTTGACTGCTTTCTTAAAGGTGGGGGATCATATGAAACTATCATGGCAAGCTGCTGCATCTCCTGGGTAAGCTGTTTCACTCCTTCGTTTTCTTCTTCGAACAATCCAGCTCCAGATTCATAGTCTATCATCCATACCAGCTCCCTTCTTACTCTCTTTTCAGGAAGATCAATTCTTTCATCTTCTGAATCTTTATTCTCCTGATTTTCTTCATTTTCATCTTCTGAATCTTTATTTTCCTGATTCTCTTCATTTTCTTCATACATAGAATCAAGAGAGCTAGTTTCTCCTGACTTCTTCCAATTCCACTTTTCTATTTCATCGAAGACTACATCTCGACTAATAATGATCTTATTTGTTTCTAGATCATACATTCGAAAAGCTTTGGACTCCTCACTAACTCCCATGTAGACGCACTTGATGCTCTTCTCATCCAGCTTCTTTCTTGTGACATCAGGAATATGAACATATGTTATGCATCCAAACACCTTGAGGTGTACCACTGATGGTTTCTTTTCTTTCCAAGCTTCTTTGAGTGTCATGTTTTGCAAGGCTGAGGTTGGACATCTATTCAAAACATGAGTGCCAGGTGTTTCCCTTGAAAATCGTAAAACAACCGCTGATCTTCCAAATCTAACTTTGGTGACTCACAGAATCGATCAGATTGATCCTAGGACATGTGCTAAAAGGTTTTGTTTTCTAGAATCTGCCTAAGTTACATACTTTGACAATATTGGGTGAAGAGTCTTAAGGGTAGAATTATTTATTAGACTGAGGAGAGGACGAAGATAGAAATAATTTTGGGAAGGAAAAAGGTTAAAGGCGAAGTAAGAATGCATAAAGACTAGAAACTATGGCGAAAAAGTAAAGCAACTTAATAAGAGTAAAAGACAAAGTAAACTTCATTGAAAAGTAAAACACTGTGCGTTTACATCACATACATTTTCCTTTATACTCTCTTTCTCTACACATGGATACTTGGAGTAATTATAGGAGTGACTTGTACAAAAGTAAATTACAACACCCTTAATTCAATCTCTAAAACTCCTATTTATAATAAAAGAAATAACTAACAATAACTTTCCAAACCATCATCTTCTGACACATGTCGTGATGCATGGAGTCCTTCGCCCACCAGGTGCCACATGTCCTCTTAGTCATTAGCGGATGAAACTACTCCCTCCAATTTATTTGAATTTCAAATCTTTAAGATAGTAATCAAACAACGTCTCGGTCGAAGCATGGTCCTTCGACGTTTCGTGATTGCTTTCCCAAAGCCTTCCACATGTTTCGACACTTCTTCTTCGTAGACCTTGGACTTCTTTGACCAACTTTTATCTCCAGTGAGATTCTGATGCCATTTTATTAAATATCTCAACTTGCAAGAGGTGTCAAATTTAGGAGCTAACAAATTGCCCCCCAAAAAATATCTTTTTCGACCCTTATGTAGAAAAAGCGCATTTTTTTGACAGAATCTAATTCGACGCCACTATCTCGACTTACACATGTCAATCAATATGTTTTAGCCTGACTAATTCCTGAGAAGATGAAAAGGGAAAGAGAGAGAAAAGGAAACCACACGAAACATGCAAGTAACTGCTCTGCCACCTTTTGCGCACATTCTTGACGTCATGGGTCATTATGGCAAATTTCTGGGAACTCACAAAAATCATAAATCATCATCACTCTTTTAGAGCCTAGGGGATGGAGGTTACAACTGTCACCCCTATTTCTCCACCTCAGGACACACACATGGCCCACTAACTCTAGCCAATTATGATGAAAAACTCTTGATTTCCCATGCTCCGTATAAATAACTTCCTTAGGCATCATTTTTAATCTTTTCAATTCCCAGAAAAACTCTTGCGTTCTTTTTCTCTCCAAATATCCCTTTCTTCTCCATAACATTTCTTTCCCTAACTCTAACAATGGCTGAACACCAGAATCAGAAGCAAAAGACACAACCCAGAGGAAGAAAGTTTCGCAGTTTTTAATTCAGGTTGGGCTTGCGAGGAAGGATCAGATCAAGATTCATGGTTTTTGAAGGGTTTGGTTTTTTATAATAGCTTCGGGTATTTGAAGTTGCTGATAAAGTTGGAGTGTCTTTTGTTCTGTTTTAGTTTGATTGGGTTACTTAAGAAATAAGTTGAAGGTGAGATAATACTTAGAAGGGGGGTTGAATAAGTATGAAAGATTAAGACTTTAAAAATAATGACACAATTATTTTTATTCTGGTTCGTTTAAAACAACTACTCCAGTCCACCCTTCCTAGAGTGATTTGCCTTTCTCAACAAGGACTTAATCCACTATTTAATCAAACTGATTACAATAGTAACACCTAAGAACAACTGTTCTTAGTCTTCTCAAGAGATACTGATTCCAACTGAATCCTCTTAAGGAAAAACCTTTACAATCAATAAATCAAATACAAGAGTATGAATGCTTCTAAAAAGTTTTTATCACAACAGTGATTTTTCTCTTAAATTTAAGTACAAGAAATTCTAAGAAGAATATGGAAGAATGAGAGCTTGAATAATATGATTTCTTTTCAGCAAATTGTGTAACTGAAGAATTTGGTGGAGTCTTCCTTTTATAGGCAGCTGATCCAAGGATGTTGAGCGTTGAAAAGAGAGTCCCAAAAAGGTCTGAGCCTTTTTGTCTTCACATCAAGTGACCTTTCCTAGAAGTAGATAGCACAGAAAAATCCTTTTTGTCTGTGTTATTGTGTCTAGCACAAATGAGGAAAGAGACGTTTGATTTACTCCAACGGATATAATCTTTGAATATTTCTTCTTCAGTTTTCAGCAAGTTCTTCAGAGTCTGATTGAGTCAGAGTCTTCTAATGATGTTCAGAACTTTGCTGTATCAGAGTCTTCTGCAGCATGTATGCTTTCAGCGTGTTGATCATCAGAGCATATTTGACACAGAACTTCAGTACTTGGCACCGTTAGTACTTTCAGAAACTTCTGTAGAAATTATGCTTTGAGAAACTCTTCATACAATATTCTTCTAAGCTTCAGATGCTTCTGACTAGCTTCAGATGCTTCTGCTTTAGAATCTTCTGTAGCTTCTTGCTTCAGATCCTTCTGGAGACTACGCTTAGGATCTTCTGTAACCAGCAATCAGAGTCTTCTAATGAGTGCATCTGGCGCTTCAGAGTCAGGATAACTTCTTGTATACAATTCAGATTTGCTTCTGGAGTGTTAATATCATTACAATCTGCAGTAAAACTCTCAAGCAAATTTTAGAGTATATAATTCTTAAATATAAAATTTCCTAACAGTTATCATCAAAACAAAGAGTTATTATTAAGAACCAATCTGTGTTCTAACAATCTCCCCCTT